GCAAACTTTAATCAAACCTTGATTAAGTCTTAACTTTTACTAAATTCATAACACTTTTAGGTGGATTTAGCTTCCCCTCCCAACCTGGCAACTCATAACATTTTGCTATAATGAAGCGATATTAAAAAATCGAACCACCACAACAATAGATCTATTTTTATTGATTTTGAAATTTACTAATGCTCTGATGTGGGATTTGATCATTGAAAACAGTCCTTTTACGTCAATCACAATTATGGGATTCACAATTATGTTCATGGGATACATAGCCTTTCAAGAAAAGGTTAAAGATACCTTTGCATAGGGCTGACACCACCAAGAGGCCGAGTGAGGCAACCCCCTTAGCAGGAGGTGCTGGGGGCAGTGAGGTGTTGAAGGGAAGAGCTGTATGTGTCCTGCCCTGTGCCCTCACCCCTCTAAGATAGCCTGGTGCTCTGAGGTGAGGGCACAGGGCACCGTCTTATCACCACTGTTGAAGTAAATTCCAGCCCCTGGCTTGGTTAGTTTTTGGACATGGAATAATAGAATGATGAGATACATGTGTGTTCATGTGCATTTGAAGCCCACAGAGCTCAATCTCTCATCCACAATAGAAAGGTGCAAATTCCCTTTTCAGACATAAGAACACGTTTCAGAAAACCAAAGCTTTTCACTATACTGTATAAAAAATAGCAAATCATAATTTATTTGGGAGAATATTGGATATGGAGAGCTGAAGGAAATCAGATGGTAAGATGTTATTGCCAATGAGACTGAGAGAAAATGAAATTGACCCTAGTAACTATGTAATTCCACCCAGCGATCTCTGTATAATATAGTTTTACCATTGCTATAAATTTAGTTTAATTTCCCCTCTTTCCATTTCAATAAAGAATACAATGTTCATTTTACATGTCATAGGAGAAATATAAAAATGTTGATTGCCAGAACACCACCTGTTGTCAAAACGTTTTGTTTTAAATCTCTTTCCACTTTTTTATTTTATTTTCTGACACATTTGTTCCCACTCATTTACTTGCAATTATAGTGATTAATTCAGCATTTCATTAGGGAAGTTCTATAATTTAAATGTCTTTATGCAACTCGGTCTCTGTTGGATTCGCAGGACATTGCTGCGATACAATAAGAGTAATCGTATATTAATAACTGTTTTAAATTGGTGTGTTCCACATACAAGGAGGAGCTGTAGGTAGGTCACAAATTTCATAGCACATTGATTCTTGCACTTAAAAAGCAATTGCATTTTAACTCTACATTTAAAAATCCTTCTTACTGAGCTTTAATATAAAAGCACATTTTAAAATGTGTTTGTGGAAGGGGGGTTATTGGTTTGTGTTTATTTTTGTTGGGTATTTTGTTTTCTCATTTTGTATTTTTTCTATTTTGAACCTCTCTGGGATCTTCTAGTGAAGGGAGGTATACAAATTTAATAAATAATAATAAAATAACAATAAATCTTCCCATAATTTAGTTCTCTGAGTGGTGTACAAGGAATTTAAAACAAGCATAGATAGATAGATAGATAGATAACCCAAGAGCAGTACAGAGCATAAATGTTAGCAGCCACAATCAAATTACCCAGTCACAATGAAGCTAAAACTATTCAATAAAAGCTAGAAACAACCAAATTGTGACAAAAATAGAGACAAAAGTGTTAATAATAGTTTATAATAATGTTAATTAAAATAGGATGTTTTTCCTGGTGCAGGTAGGCCTCTTTAGAGAAAGCATTCCTTAGACAGAGAGGGACACTGCTGAGAAGGCTTTGCTTTTAGTATGGTAGTCCCTGAGATATAGATGAATGCATGCCTGAAAAACTAGAATATGAAGAATGACAGATATTCACATGTCTCGCTTGAAGTGCTCTTGCGCTTGCTCTCTTGCTCTCAGAGTACATGGGTGCAAGACAGAAATTCGGTATTAAATTTGTTTGTAATATGGTTTTAAAAATTATTGATGGTCATGCAAGACTCTGGACTTGGAATAGCATTTCAACGTTCCTTTCATCAACTGTGAACAGATATATTCTCTATAATGTGCATTTTTGTCCTCTATCCATCAGGGTTTTCCCCTGTAGAACTGTATATATTTAGGAATGGCTTTTCACATTTCAGTCTCTTGAAAATGAATCTTCAACTGAATGGAAGTTCTGCAGAACCAGGGTTTGATGGACTGCATCATTCAATAGCAGTACAGTACTTTAATTTGAAATCCATATTAAGAAGATATTCCTGCAGGCATCCGACCTGATAAAATGGAGAGCGTTCTTAACATGTTTTTGAAAGCATATTGAATGTCTTTTCAGAGCAAACAATCCTGTTCCTTCTTGCCTTGTAGCTATGCAGAGAGAACATATTTTTGCTCAAGAACAGGGTTTGAAAGCAAGAAAGCATAACATTTAGTTTTAAGCTTCAGCCATAGAAACAGCTTCTGTGTTTGAAAGAGTCATGCATTGGTAAAGTTAACATACAGATAAAACAAACTGTAAACATGGTATCATTATGGGCATTGGTGTCTGCGGTGCAATGGGTCATAGGTTGGTGGTTTGAGCTGCAGCAGGATTCCTGCATTGTAGAGGGTTGGACTAGCAGACCCCCCCCCACGGGGTATCTTCAAATGCTACAATTTTATTATTCTATAATTGTTGATATTAATAATCAGGATTTTATCATACTACAAAGTATGTTTTCTTACAATTTTCATTTCTTAGATAACAAAAATATCTCATTTAACAACATGGAGTTTGTTATCTTATAGGAACTTCTTGTATTATCAGTTAGGTTATTTTGATCAGAATGAAGTGGTAGAATGGGCTACCACTTCAGACTGCGTGGGTGATCACATTTCCCCCTATGTAAAATACTCCCTACAAAGACAAAATTAACTGAGCAGGCAAAGGTCTTGGACAGAACTTTTCTCCCTGTACTTTTCTATGTGTGTGTGTTTGAAGGCAGTAGTCTCAGTAATGGGATACAATGTTCCTTGGAATACCTTTCACTGATATGGAGGTTTCAGCTATGGATAGTGATGGGTGAATCTGTCAGTTTTTGTTTCATTCAGTTTCTCATTTTTCCAACCTTAAGATCAGTTTTCCACATTTCCACACCAGTTTGTGATTTTAAAAAAGAAAATGAAATAAGCCCTGATGAAAATTCACCCGCATTTTTTGGTGAATATCTCCTCTAATACCATAGCTGTCAACTTTTTCCTTTTTTAAAGGGAAATTCCCTTATTCCGAATTGGATTCCTCGCAAGAAAAGGGAAAAGTTGACAGCTATGTCTAATATACACATTTGTATACAATTCTGCCTAAAATACAAAAAATCTGCAAATCACTTTCCTCTGATACAATGTGTTTTGTCTATTGTTTTCACTAATATATGCATTTTTGTACACAGTATTTGTGTACAGCTGCATTGAATTGCATTGCAAAAATCAGAAACCATGTTGCAAAATTTGAAGAAGTGCAAATTTTGAAGGATGAGCTGTGCAGTTCTCATATTGATTCGGAAAGTGTGGATTATTTAGGTTCATCTTAAAGTGTGGACTGAATGGTATGTCTCTCCCATTCCTACATATGAACTGAATCGCTTTCACCTGTGCACAATATTGTGTTTCCCACATTTGCTGCTCTGATTATCAGGGTAGGTTATGAAAGAAAAAGTCAGTGGTAGCACAATGTGTAGGAACTGCAAGGAAAAAGAGAGAGAGTAAGAAATGGACGGGATCTTGGCAAATTTAGACAGGACTCACTAAGTCCAAGAGTCTTTTTTTATGGCAGGACATCACCCTGGAATGTGAGGTGTAACTTCCTTTTAAGCATTTCTGCTGCAGGTGGCATTCCCATTACTAGTGGGTAGCCACAGTCACTCAGAGCACATCTAGATTTAGAGAACAAGGTTTTCAAGACCACTGAGCTCATGGCTTCTTCGCAGGCTCTCTCTGTATAGCAATAAATCACTGGAGTGGACACAGCTCATCCAGCTGTTAATGATATATTGTAGAAGGCTTTTGGCTAGTTCTGTGTTTTTTCTTTTAATCAGATGGGAAAAGATAGCTGGGGAATGGAGAATGCGGAACAGTGTAGGAAGAATCCAGCTTCTTTGCTATCAGCCTTTGCTTCCTTTGGGAGATTATCCTCCCACTCTGACAGCCACAGGCGAAGAACCATGAATGCAAGGCCCATAATGCAGCCTCCTGAATGTTTTTGCTATTTGGGAATTCATCCCCAGTATCAAAATTAGAGGCTACTACTAAAAATATGGGTCTTGGATAGGTTTTCTTTACCAGCAAACAGGTTCTATATCAGTCTAATAGTACATACTTATTTGCCTCACAGGAACATTGTGAAAGATAGTTATTACTGTAGGCCACTTTGCGGACTGTTGAATGCTATTTCTGGGCTAATGTCGTTAATTCTCCCATTATCTCCCTACCACTATGAAAGTCCTATTGTCCAAAATGGGACAGAAGCTGCTTTCATCCTAATGAACACAAAGAAAATAATTCTTTCCAACTGAGATTATGCCTTTGCCTTGCTTACTGCTTGTTCAGGTCTGACCCACTTTAGAAAGGACCAGCTCACTTTTATCTGCACAAGTTGAAAGAGCCTCAAAAAGCCGACATACTGCATTACAGCTATGATAAGAAAACACCTTGGAGTAAGTGCCTTGTCCCATTGACATGTGTAGGATTAATAAGAACGTGCTATTTGAAGGCATAAAATGTCAGGATTCAGAATAGTTGTTTTCTAAAAGATGTTGTTTTGCACAGTTAGGTGAAATGAGTGCTGGTGTGGGGTGTGTACAGATGGTGTCTTCATAGTCCTGGTATTGTAGGAAAAGTGGGCATTTCACATGTCAATATGTATGCTAAAAATCGTCCCTATTTGGAAGTTGAAAAGATTCTGACAAAGTTTGTCCTTTGGAATCAGAAACTCACTTCATACCATGGTTTCAGGCATTTGAACCCCACCAGAGGAATGGAAGAAAATTCCCCTAGCATGTAGCTCAGTGGTAGAGCATGTAGTCTGCATGCCAAAGGTTGTAAGTTCAATCCCTTGCATCTGCAGATAGGGCTGGGAGCGATTTCCGTCTGAAACTTTGGAGGCTGGCTACCAGTTGCTGTAGAGTAGACAGTGCCAAGCTTGATGGACCAGTGGTTTGATTCAGCATAAGGCACTTCATATTTGAATCTTGCCATCTGCCCCTTTGTACGACATAAGCACTTTTTATTTTTTATTTTTTAAATTATATTTATTGAAAAAAGAGTTTTTAAAAAAAAAATTACACAAAGGAAAAAACAAGACAGAAAAAGAAAAAGAAAAAAAGAAGAAAAAACCATCATTCTCCAATTCTCCACTTTCAGTACCTTCTTTCCTTGACCTCCTCCTCCTCCCTTTTCCTGTATCCTGTTTTATAATAATCACAGCAAATCCTTTCCATAATTCATAGTATTCTGTCATCACATTACCTTGATCTATTTTCATCTTATCTTATAGAAAACCTTAAAGTTTAAAACTTAAATCTTAATTTTTACCAACTTCTCCTAAACCATAACATTCTTACCTAGTTCTTTAGACATTTTTATAAGAGCCAAATAGTTTCATTTCAACATTTTCCTAACATTCATCAATTTTATAAAACAGTCCTAATGATAAGAATAAAAGAAAAAAGCAATCCAGTCTTCATCCAACGTCCCTTCCTCCTGGTCCCGGGTTTTGTCAGTCCTTTTTTATCCTATTAATCTAGCACATTAACCTGGCAATCTTATATCTGAGGCCCTCAAGTCTCTTCCATGTCCCTTTCGTACCTCTTCTTTATATTTCCCTTTTATTCGTGGGAACTCCAGCTTGATTGTGTTTTTCACCCTTTTCAGCAAGACGATCCCTTTTCCATAGTCCAGGATAGGCTCGATGTAGTATTTACAAGCATGCTCCAGATTCCCATCAAAGTTGGGAGCCCCCACAGCTCCAAACATCTGACGGCCCCTTTCCAGACTTGAAAAGTCCAAATCTCCCTGTAAAGGGGGGTCTATTTCCAAACCCCCCATTTCCAAACCAAACCAGATTTTATCTTTCCAAGTCTGATTTTTTCCAAGTTCATTTATCAAATCCAAGAGTTTATATTCCTGCTGGGCCGCAGCTCCCTCCGTCTCTGGCGCCCAAGATTCAGCAAGGTCCTCTTCTTTCAGTTGTTCTGTCATGGCACGCTCCTGTATTGATTCCTGGGTGGGCTCCATATAGTTTCCCACTACCTGTTCAAAGGTTCTGGCCGCATTAGTCATGAAATCCGTCTTCTGACTTAACTGATCCAATAGGGCATTTATTTTACAGAAAGCACCCAACAGTGCTTCTGAAGACATTGTCCTACAAGGTCACAAATCCTTTCCCACAGTTGTAATCAGTGACAGCTGCAAGTTCCCAGGAATTAGTTACAATTTCACAGTTCCCCACTAGGGGGAAAAACTTCTGGTTGTTCTTTTTCTTGAAAACAATAGCAACAAAGTTTCTTTTTTAAGATATTTTGTCCATATTTGTTCTTTTAAAAGACGAAGGGAAACAATGGAGTCACAATGTTTCTCTTCTTTTAACTATCTGTCAAAGACATTTGTTTCTGGTCAATGAGCTTCAAACGTCAATTCTGACACCCCGCTCCAGGGTCAGGACGGTGGAAAATTACTTTGCTTTAGATTCACTTCTGCAGGTTTAAGCAGCTCAGAAAAGGTCCCCCTTCTTCCCCTGCTACCGAAGGGGGGTTCAGCGATTTTAAATGATGAAAGTTGATCCTTTAAAAGTGATTTTTAAGGCTCTAGTTTGCGTTGTCTTTGCTTTGTTCTGACTACAAGGAAACGGAAGGGTGACTTCCTGTTTAAACCTTCCCGTTTCAGTACCAAATTAGGGTTAATTTTTAAGTCCAAATTCCTTTTTATTTCGCCAGTTCTTATTTGAAGTCCCAATATTCAATGTTCCAGTACTCACGGGTGGTTGTTTTAAATGCCAAATTGTACCAGTAAAATGGCATCGATCTCCGGCGACGACTAAGCGGCTTAGCTCCGCAGAAAAAGCAATTGACTCACAGCACCGCGCCACTCCCCCTCTTCACTTCGGAGCCCGTTTGTGGGTTCCTTTGTGGGTTGGGGGGGCGCTAAGGGTGCCCGCCGAGTCCCACGGTCACAGGCTTCATCCGCCTGTGATTTCCAGAAGGGTCCCCGCTACGCCGCAGCGGAAAAGACCTGTTTCATGCGGAGCTAGTCCCTCCAATTCAGAGGGAGTCCGCCATTGCCGGTGGTGCCACCCCGGAAGTCCCCTTTGTACGACATAAGGATCGCATAGGTAGTAACTTGCAAATGGGAACAGAGGGGCTTTTAAAGTATAGTGTCCAGGCAGCAATTATGTGCTCTTTATGATCATTCTTTTCCAGTTATAGGGTGAATATGCTAAGACTACTAAGCTGTAGACTGCACTGGTGATCAGTCAACACCTGATCTGCAATTATGCTGCTTTATGCAAATATGCAAATAGATGGGCCTCTCAAATCATGGCATGTTTTTAAATTAGAAACAGACATTAGGTTGATGTCATAGTCAACCACCTACTCTTCCTGTAAGGCAAACAGTCCATCAACTATACAAAAGAAAGTAAATCTAATTTGTTTCCCTGCTAAGCAAAATTTCCTTTGTCTTCCAGTTAATGAGCTTTTGATCTGATTTTGCTCTAAATTAGGAGCAGCTATCGTATGAATGGAACCGTCACTGTAAACTGAGCAGCCTGGCGACGAAGTCATGTCTACCCTATATTAAATGATCAGGTCTTTGTTCCAGAAGTCAAATGTTCTCTAGATGTTTTCACAGCCATATGGGAACCACATCACTTACCCTGACTGCGACAATATTTTTAAACAACCCACCTACATCGGTGGGGCTTTCCCATTGAATCATGTTCAGGCACAATGACAATTCTTTGGGAAAGGCCTGTGCATGCAGCCCCCAGTCATGCGGCTGGGCCATTTAAACTTTCTCCCCGACAGGAGGCTGGGAGAATCTGCAAATGGCAATGGAGTCACTTAACAAACTGCAGCCAGTAGGTAAGACAGAGTTTTGGACTGCTTTATGCGTTTTGCCACATCATAGAAAGGAAAGATGATGTGTTCTACCTAAATGGTAATACAAAATCCCTTAGAATGAACCTTCACTGAAGCATTATTAGTACTACTGTTATTATTATTTATTATTATTAATTAGATTTATTACCTGCCCGTGGTCCCTGATCACCAACTTAATGTGTGCTGTCTGTATTGACTTGGTTAAAGGACAAAACTATGTTATGTGTAAATGAGTGCAAAATGCCCCTAGAAATAGTTGGCTGTGGCAACTGAATAAATGTGTGATACATGAATCAGAGATATGTCAGACTGACTGCCTAGAAGGTGTGTCAATTCTGTGGCCTACTTTTCCCATTTCAGTACATTGCATTTGTCAACTCATTGAGTAAAAATCAACACTCCTTCGTTTCCAGTGGATTGGGTGATGATTGTAAGGGAAGTAACACCAAGCTACGGTGATTGGCTTAGATTAGCTCAGATTGGCACATTTAGCTGGGATAGGCAACTCTGTACTTGTGTGTGACTCAGTGAAACCAGACCAGGCTTGCTGTAGTGAAATTAGCAGCCAGGTGAATGTGTCTTCAGTATGAGATGGCTGATGTTATCTAGCTGTTTTTGTTTCAGAACTTCCTGCTTTCCAGCTCAAACTTTGCCACAGCTTTATGTACTAGAGAGATACATTCACATTTACTTATTATATTTATAAAACCATAAATATGGCAATCAGTTCTGAACATAGGAATGATTCTGATGGGAATCTTCTATTGTGCTCCACCACAGAAGTAGGTTTGTTTAAACCTGGTCGGCACATAGGGTAGGGTTGCCATATTTCAAACAGTAAAAATCCGGACAGGAAAGTTGTTTTTTGGTTGTCCGCCTAGACACTGCAAGAGACAGCAGTATTCCAGATATGTCCGGGAAATTCCAGAAGTATGGCAACCGTCACCATATCCTGGCACTACCTTGAAAGAGGTATATGATGAGATGCAGCACTTGCATGGGGCAACTTTCTACAAGCAAACACAGCATTTGCTTGTCCTCCTCTGTATAAACTCTACCAGCTCATACGTAAAAAAACAACAACCCCCATGCCCTCACTTTTTCCATGTTTATTTATATAAATTATTTCCAACTGGAGTTTCTTCTCCCAAAGGAGAAGAAATTAAAAACAAATTAAAAACTACCGTATTTTTCGCTCTATAACACGCACCTGACCATAACACGCACCTAGTTTTTAGAGGAGGAAAACAAGAAAAAAAATTCTGAATGAAACAGTGGATGTATCATTTTTGTGCTTCATGCTGTGGCCACAGACATGTGATTTGACGGTGAATTTGGGGTAGCCCAATGCAAAAATCCTGAGAATCCATGTGGATCTGTGCTTTGTAACCACGTTTTTGCACCATTGTGGCCCCAGGCAACAGTGGGTGCATGATTTTTTTGGTGCAGGCTGTAGCCATAGACATGCTATGTGATCTGATGGTGAATTTGGGGTGACTCTGAGGCAGAATGCAGGAAAGCAGCAGCCTCCTCTACAGCTTTCCCTCCTCCGTGACGCGGGATCTGATTTTTGCCTGATTTTTGCCCCTGCACTCGGGCCAGTCTGCTCCAGGGACCACACATTCGCTCAATAACACGCACAGACATTTCCCCTTACTTTTTAGGAGAAAAAATGTGAGTGTTATGGAGAGAAAAATATGGTAATACTTATCCAGTCATGTATGAGACAGTTGTAGATCAGCTGATCCATCTGAGATTAAGATCTCTTCTAAGGGTTTGCCCCCTCCACTTCCCTGGTATTATGTTACCTGCTCTAAGATCTTTATTCTCCTCAGAAGAAACACATCTGTTGCCTTGGAAATGGGAACTCAATAGAACGTAACTGATGTGATGCTTAGGTACCCTGGAGATTTTCTCAACTTCTCTAGGTTACCCATGTAGAACTGGTGGGAGTAAGTGATGCACTTA